TCTTCTCCATCAGCCGCCGCCAACCACCACCAGTTCGGTTTTCTCTGTGAGGGAAAGATCAAGAAAGAGTTCTTGATATCAGTCTTTGCTGAAAGGCTAATTCAGTTCGGTGCTCATTGTTTCCAGAGGATTCTTGTGAAGGATTCAGTGCGTAGGACGCACTCTACTGGTTCTGTTCCACAGTTGTTGTGTCATCTTCAGTAGGAGCAGATCTTGGTGTCTTCTTTGGGCGTGAACACCAACTTTGGGAGATATTATTTCTCTGGATCATGTATAATCACTCCCTTCTCTTTTGGTTCAAATCTGGTTTAGTTTGGAAGGAAGGTAGGAAATTTTTGAAATTCGCCCACCCATTCCGCAACTATTTTGGCGTCCATACGATGGATCCTACCATCCCTTTCAATGGTATAAGAGCCACAGGTTCAAATCTTGAACCAAATGATCAGATCTGAACCTACGCAATTCGGTAGAAGTTGTTCTATCCGGGTATTGTGCAGTTTGTTGTTTTACTTCAAGAAACTGTTTCTTGTTGAGGGCGATTGATCTGAAATTAATTTTGTTAAATCTGAAATTTATTTAGAATTATTCTTTATTTATTTCTTGATTTAATGGATTGTTCGTACCTAGAGATCGCAATGCAGAATTGGCGCAGATTGTCTGCGCATTCTCCTTTTGTAATTTCTATTCAATTCGGTCTGTAAAATAATTTTTTTATTTTTCTAGACTGAATGTATAGGATTCAATCAAGGATGTAATTAATTAATAGAAATAGAATTTCTGTTTTATTTTATTTTCTTGATTGAAGAAAGCAGCGGCGCTGGAGATTTGCAGATGAAGGCATCGCATTCTGTGTTTTGCAGTTTATGAAACTGCAACCCTAGTGACTAACCTCTGTTTTGCAGGTGGTGCGAAAAGTCCATGTCTGATTTATGATTGTCTAAAATCAGAAATATTAATTTCAGATCTTTCCTGAATTAATTCTTGAATTGAAAATCAGTTTCGAACCATCTCGGACCAGATTGGACCAAATCTATTTGGACCGAATCTAGGGTTCGAAAGGGGATTGTCTTCAGTTCAGATTTCTCACACTTTCAGACCCAAATCTGATGTTCAATTGCAGGGATTAATTCGGCCCAACCTGTAAAGCCCAATTTTAAAGAGTTAAAACTGCAAAAACCCACTTTTATGAGAAAAGCTATAT